AACTTTGTATCAATTTTTCTTCTACTACACAATAAGCTAGTCATATAAATCTTTCAATTCAATGAAAACAAAGCACACATAAAACTCTATCACTTAGAGTTTAGAAGTCAAAGCTAGGAGAGCCTATTTTCCAATGGTAAGTAAAGGGGATTTAACAAAAGCTCAAGAATAATTAATATTTGAAAGGTAATCTTTCACAGGGAGCTGTTTAAACCACTTTTTTCTTCTATTACAAAAAATACCAAAATTCACAAGCTGATCAGAGAAGAGAGATTAATCCACCTGAAATGCTAACTCCCCCCACTCCTTCACTCCTGTACGAACTACTGGAGTTCTGTGGCGGTGTGAGCACCTGTGTGAACGAACACCTTGGATACTTATACATCCCTGCACATTTGATCCAGGTAAGCTGATAACAAGCAAGTCAATGAGACAGATTATACCCTAAAGTTGTTTTTGTTTTCCTAAATCTGTTCCTCAGGTCATTCCATTTTATCAGACTCCCTCTTAAGTCATCATTTAATCTAACCAGCCTTTATTAAATATCTACTTTATTCCTAGAGCTGGGGGAGGTGTTCCCTCCAAATACACCTCCCGTTTGACTTTACCAGGAAGTCCTTCCATCCCTCTCTTTTTACTTACTCTATCACTTCTTCCTCCTCACTCCACTGCCTTTCCTACCCTGTGTAGACAGATCTCACCGTGTATCAATTCCGTCACCCTCTTGGCAGAATCCTCAATCTTAGACAACAACAGATGTCTAAAGCTCTCACAACACTAGTCTCGCTTATATCTTTGATCTCTTTCCTTCAGTCTATAAAGTTCTTAAATATCTTGAATGTAAAAAATATATATCCTTTTAAAAAAATCTAAGTGTCTAAAAGAAAAGCTTTTCCTCCCATTTATTCAATTCAATGAGCTCATTGCAATCTGGGTGTCATCTGAACATTTCCCTCTTCCTCACCCAAAAAGTTAATTCATGATTCCTCTTTCCTATATTTCTCTATTCACCCTCACTCCAACTGCTTGAGTTCAGCACCCCTCGTCTGTTTTCATATGGACCGCTGCAGTCATGTCCCAATTCACCTCCTCGCCTCTAACCTCTCCTTCAAACATCCCCTTCCTCCCCTACCTTCTACATCACGCCGTCACAATACTCTTTATGTAGCCCAAAACAAATCACGTGTCCCACGTTTAAAACAAACCTGTGATTTTTCAGTGTCTAAAAATTAAAATCTAAGTCTTCATGGACTACAAAGCCCTCTATTATCCGGCCCCTGTTCTATCTATGATTGTAGAAATCCTCATTCCTTAAGCCACCCATACTTTTTTGTACCATAAGCTCGTCTTCATCAATGGTACCTACATCCCAGAACCATGCTGCTGACCACAAAAGCCCTGTGCTCACACTGCTCCATCTTCTGGCATTCCCATGCTCCCCTTGACTCAGTTTGCTCTTACTCATCTGTCAAGATCTAGCTCAAAAATTTCTTCCTCTGTTAAGTCTTCCCAACCCACACAAATTGGGTTGGTCAGTCCTTGCCGGCACCGTTTCATCTATGTAATATCTCTATTACAGCATATCACATTTTAACATCATTAACTGATGACATGTCTGTCTCCCTTTCTAAACCGTGAGCTCCTTGAAGTCAATGGTTGCTTTCTAACCCATCATATCCTCTATGNCCAGATTTTAAAGAAAAGAACACATAGTAAATGGCTGGGGAGTAAGAAAGAAGTGGTAAATTAATACAAAAGACAGAAAAATATCAAGAGAAATCTAACAGGAATCAGTGATGATAATGTACCATGAACTGAGTGTGACACTTTAGCAACCCTTTGCACCTGAAGTCCAGAAAAACAACACAAAACAAAGAAAATCTCCCAAACTGGCCTCACCATTCCAAGGAATGGTATTGTAACAGGTAATGTAATAAGTTGGACCACAGTCCACATAGCATAGTGACACATCACACTAATATACAGGGAAGCCCAGACACAGCTATTACCCTGCACCCAGCACCAGGCTTACTAAGTAGGACCCGAACTTACTGAGCTTATTCAAAGACAGGCTTCTGCCTACCCCTTTTACCTTATATTCTACTTGTTAATGCCCTTGCTCTGGCTACAGAAATCTGTGCTCTAGCCAGGGCTAGGGACTATGCCAACCTCGCAGTGAGTGGGGCCACCAGGAATAACGCTACTCGGAAGCCCTGGCTTGAGCCATAGCCAGGGATATAAAGCATTTCAAAAACGGCTGGCGAAAGAGCCAAAACCAAGCAAGATATTTTAAAACTGTAAACTGTAAAAGTGACTTAATGCTAAGACTCTGTTTGTTGTTGGTGGGGATGTTAAATGGTGCAGCCTCTACAGAAAACAGTATGTCTGTTCCTCAAAAAGTTAAAACATAGTACTACTGTATGATCTGTGAAACACAGAAAAGGGAGAAAATAATCAAGAATGTAGTTTGAGGTTTGTCATTTCCATTTCCATATACATTCCTCCCATATGACAGGTACTTGAAGACTTGCTGAACTAANTGGTTGCTGAGCACTCGAGGAAGGCACACACTCATTTTACTATCAGCATTTTAAGATACATAAACATAATATGCATGTAAACCAAAACAGGTATACTCTGCGGGCCACACAGAAAATTAAAAGGCAAGTAGCCAAATGGGAATAAAACGGCTATGACAAAAGGTAATGTCCTTAATATATAAAAGAAGTCCTACAAGTCAATTCAAAAATGAATGTCCCAACTGAAAAATGGTAAAGAGTAATTCACAAAGGAAGAATAATTCACAAAATATAAACCCTCACTGGCAACCAATAAGTGCAAGTAACATCAGCTATTAAATTGGTAAAGCTTGAGGGGCCGGCCGAGTGGCTCAGCTGGTTAAGAGCTCGCTCAGGAGTGTGAGCTCTGAGCAACAGGGTCGCCGGTTCGATTCCTGAGCTGAGCTGCCAATGAGCTGCCAACAGGTGGCAGGATGGCTCAGCTAAAAAAAAAAAAAATGTAAATTGGTAAAGCTTGATAAATGCCCATTATGGGTGAGGGCCGAGACAGAACAAATAGTGATGGTACGAGTGTGCTGGAATATTCGACCCAGAAATCAATCTGACATTAAATATCAAGATCTGATCATCGTAATTACAGAGATCTACCAACACATGAGGACACATGAACGGACTTACGCAGCCGCCTACCTTTCCTGTCTCATTTCACATCGTGTTCTCCCTTGCTCCAGCCACGCTGGCCTTCTTTTAGTTCCCTAAAGGAACAACACTCTTCACAGGGGGGCCTTGGAAGGTGCAACTGTGCTTTTCCTTCTACCTGAAATGCTCTTCTCCATATCGCATGGCTCACCCAACTCCTCTGCTGAGATAACTTCCATCCACCCTTCAGGCCACTTTCTCAGAGAAGCTTCGCTAATCAAAATCAGGTTCTCCTGTTATAATCTCTCGTATTCTTTACTGTTCCTTAGTTATACAAACCCAACTTGCAATCACTTTTCCTTCAGAAGAGTTATAACTTGTAATTATACATTCATGATTATGTATTTGCTAGGTCAACCCACCCCCTCCCCAACTCAAAGAGCCATGGAGGTAGAGACCTTCTACTCAGGTCACTGATATATCCCCAAAGCTTAGCACAGTGTCAGGCACATGGCAGACACTTAAAAAATACTTGTGGAGATAATGAATGAATGGTGCTCACTGCAGCAATATTTATGACAGAGCCTTCAACTCGTATGTCAAGATTCGGATCCTCGCAGCCCCTGAGACAGCTGGGAAGAGCCTGGGGCTCCCTGGCTGCCGGGCAGGGTCCATTTATACAGTGAGCCATACAAACATCATCATTTTCTAAAGGTGCTGTAACGTAAAAAAGGTTAAGATTCTCAATAATTCTCCTTGTTCTAAATCTAGAAACATCTTTCATCAATACTTTTACTTCTAACCACCTACCTAGTATCTTGCTTTTAGATATATGTTCAAGAACCCATCTAGGCACTCGTTTTGACTGATCATAAGACAAGGCATGATTAGTGTAACACCTAGTCTCTNCTTATTGGCTTTCCAGTTCCCTTTTACATAGCATTACTTTTCCTCATTCAACTTGTTCAAAAATGTCTCAGCACCTGAGCATAAAAAAGAAATTCAAGTCAGGAAGAAAACTACAAAACAGAGTATAGAAATTCTCAAGTTTTAAGGTCTGGCTCCTAGGTTTGTAATCCCCAAGTCCCATGGTGCAATACCAGACCCATATTCCCAATCCCTCCCCAAAAATATGCCTACAGATGAAAATTTGTTATCTCCTGCAGGAGCCATGTGTCCTCGTGACCACCCACTTCCAATATAGTCCTTGTTGAAGGCACTGAAGGTTGGAGGGATGTTAGGATCAGGCTTGAATTTACAGTGTTTTCTGTCTGCATCACCTGAAGAAAAACACAGACAATGCGTTACGTTTCAGTGGACAAATATCCCTCACACTCCTCTAAGCAAGGCAAGCTCACTGCTGCTAGCTGGTATCTCTGAGCAGCTAGTGCTCAGTGACCACATGCATATCTCAAGTTCCTGGGATAGTTCAGATACTTCATCTGAATTTAGCAAGGACCAGTCTAGGAAAGAATGCTTTTCATACAGTGTAGCTCTCTCATATGCTTTTGTTTTTGGCCTTTCAAATTAAAGGGGGGAAAAATCCCCTGGATAGTAATTACATAAAATCAATGACCAATCAAATACCTGAGCTGCTTAAATAAAAAGCTTAGCTACTTAATAAATGCTTGCTTTTTAAAAAGGCCCCCATGTATTGTATTTTGTACAACTGTATTTGACAAGTTTATATGTACTGAAATAATGGATATATATAGANCTATCATTCCTTCCAACAGGTGTTCAATAAATACTGTTAAATAAATGAAATAAAACTTAGAAGACAGGATGAGATAACAATCTCATACAAACAACATAAGCCTGAAGGTTAAAACAGGTCCCTACCTGGTAATTAACTACTTTCTTTCCATCGCTTCCAGTCTGAGGTAAGGTCAACGGTCCAGACACTATCCAAACATCTTCAAACCTCTCCGTCAGTTCTCGACAGTACATTTCTATTCTGGAAAACAAAGCAAAAAAATGTATGATATTCTCAGACTTAAATGTAGAAAAGAAGCAAACCACATCAAGTCCCTAGGATAGATGCCAAGAATACTGAACTACAGAAATTAATGTAAACAAGAAAATATAACACATAAGCATATAAGCAATGTTTTCCCCTGCTTGTTTACTGTACAGGGCTTAAAAGTCGCACACATTACTATACCTATCTACATTTTCCTGTGTGTGCATTCCATGTACATTTTAGAGCTGAAATTCTGTTTTGTTTTTTCCCTTATTTTTCTACACCGTAGTTCTCAAACTTTTTACAAGAATTATGTTATCATTCCAACAAGTTGATAGACCTTTTTACTTAACCATTCCTACTGTGGGACAACTGGGTTTATCCTGACATTTCTAATATGTAATACAACATTGTATTCATTAGGATAAATATCAAGGGCCAGAATTACTTTATTAAATATTTTAATGACACTTGATTATGTATAAAATCAGTATTTTTAACGGGATTGTCCCAATTTACTCTATAAACTCCAAACATGACACAGCACATAGCAGTTTCACAGCAATCTTTACAACACTGGGATTTATAGTTAAAAACTGTTTTTCCTAATTTACTAGATAAAAATGGCAAGAAGTTTTAATAAGCACTCTTATAATGCAGTTGAGATTTATGAGATAACAATGCACGTCATCATTCCTCAGTTTATCTAAAAAGTAAAATCAACATAGTATCTTATAGTGTATATGTCCAATTACAAGACAAGTCTTCCTCCCAAAACTATAACCCTTAGGAATGGAAAATGTTAAATGTTTCCACAGGTATGCCATCAGCCAGAATATGAAAAAGAAACTATAGGACAAACATCCCAGACCTTCAACAAATAATCTGAAGGGGGGAAAAGACAAAGGGAAACCTACAGATTAAAACAGGCTAAAGAGAAATATCACCCAAATCTATGTGTGGCTCCTGTTTGAATCCTGATTCAAACCAGTCGACCAAAAAAAAAAAAAAAATTTAAAAACCATCAGGGAAATTTGAACACTGATTGTACAGAAATAAGGAACTGCTGTTAAATTTTTGAGGGGCAATAATAGTACTATAGTTCTATTTTAAAAGAATCTTCACCCCTAAAAATATATATTGAAATTTTTATGGATAAAAGAATATATTTGTGACCTGCTTAAAATAATCTGAATAGGGGGAAAGGAGGGTATACAGACACAACAAATGTGGGCCATGACTGATAATTACTGACGTCTTTTTTTAGCATGCAGGTGCTCTCTTAATTATTGGGTTGTTGGAAAAGTCACGACGTCTTTTTTCTGTCTTTCGTTGCAAAAATGCATCATCACTTTTCCGACAACCCAATATTTTAAACCACAAAGAACTGCTTGGGGAAAATGCAATGGCTTGAAACAATCTCAATCAGTGCCAGTTTTAAATGTTTAAAGAGGTCCCCTCACATGATTGATTAAAAGTATCAGAGAAATGCAGAAGACCCACATGATTTTATACTGAGGGCCTTTCAAAAACTGATTAATGGCTATGTTTAACTGTACCAAGATTTTTTTTTAAAAAAGCTCAGCAAGTCTTGAAATACAAGTAGAGTAAAATACAGTGTCCTCTGGACTTATTAAAAAATATTTTACTGCCTCAGTAATAATATTTTGAGTAATTTCTTTCAGAACCTGACTTCTGACCAGTGGCAAACATGATCAAAATGGCTGTTTTGAAGTCTGTACTCCCACAGAAAACTGTACACCCAAGATAGAGCAAAGAAAACCAGTCCGAAGTACTTCATGAAAGTACTACCTTCAGTAACAGCTTTTGAAAAACAAAGACAGAAACAGTTGATAAACGGACTAGTACATTCTCTTGTCACATCATTTATCTGCCACAGAATCACATTTTACAAACTTTCACCCCTCACCTGTTCCAATATCCAGCATTATTATCAAAATTCTGAGGTACAATATTAGAAAGGTAAAAGGTTTCAGCCATGGCTTTCTGCGAAAAGAAATAAAAATAGTAACTTGTGCTGACATGCCTTCTCCTTTAAGAGATTTTACAAAGCAGACACAGAAAACTAGTTCCTTATTCATACATTAGCTCTAGGCAATTACAGTGACTACCTGTTTAGATGGGTAAGTCACAGCTATTGACAGGAAGCTCAATGATTATTCAAAATAAAGACTATAACAAAGTAACTAGTTTAGTGTCCTAGCTCTCTTTATAACTTATAAAATTCAAACCTATAATGTAGGCTCTAAGCACTGAAAGTTTTCAATATAAAGCTAAAGGGTAAATTCTGGCTTTAAGTCTCTGGCAAAGAGTTTCTCAAAGGTCAATTTTCAGGAGTTTTATTTAAGTAGCACACTGCAAACCTATTAGTTCAAAAGTGGCAGAGAAAAATTCCTCGTTCTTCTGAATTTTTGGCCACTATGTGTTCATTTATTTCATACTTCTGACCCATAAACACAAGGCTCCACCATTGTACAAGCAGACCACCTTTTATTGTACTTCCCTTTACTGCAGTTCACAGATGTTGCATTTTTTTTTTTTTTTTACAAACTGAAGGCAAGACCCTCCACCAGCAAAAAGATTATGACTCGCTGTATTATGATCCTCACTGTATTGCGATCCTCACTTTACTGCGATCCTCGCTTTACTGTGATCCTCGCTGTATTGTGATACTTGCTTTACTGTGATCCTCGCTGTATTGCAGTGGTCTGGAATTAAACCCACAGTATCTCTGAAGTATGCCTATATTTCCTTTCATTAATCTATACTAACTGCCAGTGCCACCAATTCCCTTTGTTTCCAGCAGTGGCTCTCACCCTTGGATGCACACTGGAATAACCTAGGGAGCTCTAAAAATATTGATGCCTGGATTCCACCCCCTAGAGTTTCTGCTTTAACTGCTCTGGGTTACAGGTCTAGGCATCAGAAATGTTCACAACTTGCTCAGGTGATTACGATGTATATCCAAAGTTGAGAACCACTATCTTAATGACAATAAACAACAATTCATGCACTAAATGTCAAAGACATAAAAGACGTCTCTCCTTTTTTGGCAGA